AGAGTAGGAGGATGATGAAGAGGAGGATGAACACTTATTGGCTCACGCCATTTTGGGCCCAGGGCAGGCTGTCGCCGTCCTCGCTGCCCTGCGCCTCCCTCTGTCCACCCCTTCTCCTTCTCCCCTCCTCCCCTCTCGCTTCTGCGCGACGATTGAAGCTATGATTGGCTAGATGCTGTCTCGGCTGCTGGAAGTCCAAGCCCATGGTGGACTTCGAGAAAAACTTCATGTGGGTGCCCCCTCTCTTCAAGCTGCAATCGTGAACTGCGGAAGAGCACAACGGTGGCAGCAAGCGCTCGGGTTGCTACGAGACGCCCCGCGGTGTCGCGGGGAGGTGAGCACGGCCGTATACAATTGTGTGATGAGTGCGTGCGGAAAGGGAAATCAATGGCAGCGGGCGTTGTCACTGTTCAGCGGAATGACAGAAGAGGTGTTGCAGCCTGATGTGATCAGCTACTGTGCTGTAGCCAGTGTGTGTTCCAAAGCATTGGAGTGGCAGCAATCGTTGCTGGTGTTCGCAGACTTGTGTGGGGCGAAGCTGGAGCTTGACGCCTTTAGCTACTCTGCCGGGATTAGCGCGTGCGAGAAGGGCAAGCAGTGGCAGCAGGCTCTGGCGCTGCTCAGCGACATGTGTGAGGCGAGCATCGAGCTGGACGTTTCCTCTTCTACATGCAGCGGCCCGTGCGTCCCTCCGAGAGGCCCCCGAGAGGGCACCACGACGGCCCAAGTTGCCCTCAAGACCATCCAAGAGGCCGCCAAGAGGGCCCCAACACAGGCCCAAGGTGGCCCAGGAACGCCCCTGGATGACCCCAAGGTCCCCCCCCCCCCGAACGTCCCCGGGCCCTTTCAAGCCAGCTCCAGGTGGCCCTTATGGGTCGCCCGGACGGCTCCCAGAGGCCCGGAAGGGCCCCAGGCGAGCCCGAGGAGCCCCAAAAAGAGGGCCCCAGGAGAGCCGCAAGAGAGACCCCCAAGAGGTCCCCGAGAGACATCCCGCGAGGCCTCCCCCCCACGAGGCCCCCAGAGACCCCCAAGAGGTCCTTCCCGCCTTTCCCCTCCTCGGCTCCCCGACCTCCCTCCTCGCCACCTCCTCTCTCCTCGACCGCCGCCCCTCGCTGATGGCTCCTCGCTCCTTCGCGGACCGCTCCTCGTTTCTCCTCCCCTCTTCGATCTCCTCGATCCTTGCGCCTTGCTCTTCGATCCTCTCCTGGCAGTAGGTCGGGCCAGCGAGCTGAACTGGCGAGAAACAGCATCCTGCATCATCGATCAGCAGCAGCAGCGAAAGGCAGCAGCACGCAGCACGAAGCAGTCAGCAGCAGCAGCAGCAGCAGCAACAGCAGCAGCAGCAGCAGCAGCAGCAGCAGCAGCAGCAGCAGCAGCAAGCAGCAAGCAGCAAGCGCAAGCAGCAGCAGCAGCAGCAGCAGCAGCAGCAGCAGCAGCAGCAGCAGCAGCAGCAGCAGCAGCAGCACAAGCAGCAGCAGCAGCAGCAGCAGCAACAGCAGCAAGCAGCAGCAGCAGCAGCAGCAGCAGCAGCAGCAGCAGCAACAGCAGCAGCAGCAGCAGCAGCAGCAGCAGCAAGCAGCAAGCAGCAGCAGCAGCAGCAGCAGCAGCAGCAGCAGCAGCAACAGCAGCAGCAGCAGCAGCAGCAGCAAGCAGCAGCAAGCAGCAGCAGCAGCAGCAGCAGCAGCAGCAGCAGCAGCAGCAGCAGCAGCAGCAAGCAGCAAGCAGCAAGCAGCAAGCAGCAAGCAGCAAGCAGCAAGCAGCAGCAGCAAGCAGCAGCAGCAACGGCAGCAGCAGCAGCAGCAAGCAGCAAGCAGCAAGCAGCGGGCAGCAGCACTCACCAAGCAGAACCCTGCAGCCGCAAGCACCCTGCAGCCGCAGGCAGCAGCGCGGCGCAGCAGCGGCGGGCATCACCAACAGCACGCTGTAGCGTGCTCGGAGTGCGAGCCTCGAGCCCCACGTCAGCCTTCCAGCCTTGCGGCAGCAGGCCCGCTATCACATGTCAGTTCGTGCAGATTTCGTGCGCGCAGTCCCCATCTCTCCTACATCACAAACATACGTGCGCCTGAGGAGGGCGCTGTCTTGATGGCTGCTCTGGCACCCCGGCGAGCCCTGGCGGGCCCGCCCGGCCACGCCACTGAGCCCTATAGCATTATGTCGGGCGTGTCCCCTTACAGGAGGATTTTCGACGAAAAATAGAAGATACCCCCAAAATGTTCCAAAAAGGTCAAAACATGTAAATGAATAGTCCCCAGACTATTTCCCAACCATCCTGTGGTGTTGGGTCCTCGTTTTGAAGAGACGGTGCCCGCGTCCTCTCCTCTCCTCTCCTCCTCTTCCCCCTCCTCCCTCCTCCCCCTCCTTGCCTCTGCTCTCGGCACACCTCTCACGCGTTTCGTAGCCCCATAGGGAGCTCCACCGAAGGCCCCAGTTGGGGTGTCCACATTGCGGTTCCCCCACCAGTGGCAGCGTTCGTGGCCCCATAGGGAGCTCCACCGAAGGCCCAGTGGGTGTCCACATGGGTTCCCCCACCAGGGCAGCGTTTCGTGGCCAATAGGGAGCTCCACCGAAGGCCCCAGTGGGGGTGTCACACACACCGTTACCACACCCAGGCAGCGGTTTCGTGGCCCCATAGGGAGCTCCACGAAGGCCCAGTGGGGGTGTCCACATGCGGTGGCCACCCAGGCAGCGTTCGTCGCCCCATAGGGAGCTCCACCGAAGGCCCCAGTGGGGGTGTCCACATGCGGGTCCCCCACCCAGGGCAGCGTTTCGTGGCCCCATAGGGAGCTCCACCGAAGGCCCCAGTGGGGGTGTCCACATGCGGTTCCCCCACCCAGGGCAGCGCTTCGTGGCCCCATAGGGAGCTCCACCGAAGGCCCTAGTGGGGGTGTCCACATTCGGTTCCCCCACCCAGGGCAGCGTTTCGTAGCCCCATAGGGAGCTCCACCGAAGGGCCCAGTGGGGGTGTCCACACGCGGCTCCCCCACCCAGGGCAGCGTTTCGTGGCCCCATAGGGAGCTCCACCGAAGGCCCCAGTGGGGGTGTCCACACGCGGCTCCCCCACCCAGGGCAGCGTTTCGTAGCCCCATAGGGAGCTCCACGATAAGGCCCATCGCGGTCGCACGCATGCGGTTCCCCCACCCAGGATTTCATTTCGTTCATGGCCCCCCCCCCCCATAGGAGCTCACCGGAACGGCCCCAGTGGGGGGTCCACATGCCCGCTTCCACCAACCCAGGGCGATGTTGTGAATTTTCGGTTAAAAAAAAAAGGTCCCCCCCCCCCCCCCCATAGGGGAGGCTCCACCGAAGGCCCAGTGGGGGGTGTCCACAATGGATGAGGTTCCCCCACCCTATACTGGCAGCCGTTTCGTTTTTTTTTTTTTTCCCCCCCCCCCCCCCCCCCCCCCCCCCCCCCCCCTTCCCCCTTTTCCTTTCCTTCCCCCCCCCCCTTTTTTTTTTTTTCCCCCCCCCCCCTCCCCCCCCCCCCCCTTCTCCCTCCCTGGCCCCATAGGGAGCTCCACCGAAGGCCCCAGTGGGGGTGTTCGCATGCGGTTCCCCCACCCAGGGCAGCGTTTCGTTGCCCCATAGGGAGCTCCACCGAAGGCCCCCGTGGGGGTGTTCGCATGCGGTTCCCCCACCCAGGGCAGCGTTTCGTAGCCCCATAGGGAGCTCCACCGAAGGCCCCAGTGGGGGTGTTCGCATGCGGTTCCCCCACCCAGGGCAGCGTTTCGTGGCCCCATAGGGAGCTCCACCGAAGGCCCCAGTGGGGGGGTCCACATGCGGTTCCCCCACCCAGGGCAGCGTTTCGTGGCCCCATAGGGAGCTCCACCGAAGGCCCCAGTGGGGGTGTCCACATGCGGTTCCCCCACCCAGGGCAGCGTTTCGTGGCCCCATATAGGGAGCTCCACCGAAGGCCCCAGTGGGGGTGTCCACATGCGGTTCCCCCACCCAGGGCAGCGTTTCGTCGCCCCATAGGGAGCTCCACCGAAGGCCCCAGTGGGGGTGTCCACATGCGGTTCCCCCACCCAGGGCAGCGTTTCGTGGCCCCATAGGGAGCTCCACCGAAGGCCCCAGGGGGGGTGTCCACATGCGGTTCCCCCACCCAGGGCAGCGTTTCGTGGCCCCATAGGGAGCTCCACCGGAGGCCCCAGTGGCTGCCCTCGCATGCGGTTCCCCCACCCAGGGCAGCGTTTCGTGGCCCCATGGGGAGCTCCACCGAAAGCCCCCGTGGCGCAGTTCGCATGCGCTTCCCCCACCCAGGGCAGCGCTTCGTGGCCCCATGGGGAGCTCCACCGAAAGCCCCCGTGGCGCAGTTCGCATGCGCTTCCCCCACCCAGGGCAGCGTTTCGCGGCACCATAGGGAGCTCCACCGAAGGCCCAAGTGGCGCAGTTCGCATGCGGTTCCCCCACCCAGGGCAGCGTTTCGTAGCCCCATAGGGAGCTCCACCGAAGGCCCGCCCCGGTGGCGCAGTCCGCATGCGGTTCCCCCTATCCAAGGCAGCGCTTCGTGGCCCCATATGGAGCCCCACCGAAAGCGGCACCCACAACGCGTTACCAACAATTGCTTATGGTTGGGTCTTTCGCCAGGATAATCGTTCTTTGGAGTTTTTTCCCAACCATCCTGTGGTGTTGGGTCCTCGTTTTGAAGAGACGGTGCCCGCGTCCTCTCCTCTCCTCTCCTCCTCTTCCCGCTCCTCCCTCCTCCCCCTCCTTGCTCTGCTATCGGCACACCTACTCACGCGTTTCGTAGCCCCATAGGGAGCTCCACCGAAGGCCCCCAGTGTGAATTCACATTTTGCGGTTCCCCCACCCAGGGCAGCGTTTCGTGGCCCCATAGGGAGCTCCACCGAAGGCCCCAGTGGGGGTGTCCACATGCGGTTCACCCACCCAGGGCAGCGTTTCGTGGCCCCATAGGGAGCTCCACCGAAGGCCCCAGTGCGGGTGTTCGCATGCGGTTCCCCAACCCAGGGCAGCGTTTCGTAGCCCCATAGGGAGCTCCACCGAAGGCCCCAGTGGGGGTGTTCGCATGCGGTTCCCCCACCCAGGGCAGCGTTTCGTAGCCCCATAGGGAGCTCCACCGAAGGCCCCAGTGGGGGTGTTCGCATGCGGTTCCCCCACCCAAGGCAGCGCTTCGTGGCCCCATAGGGAGCTCCACCGAAGGCCCCAGTGGCTGCTCTCGCATGCGGTTCCCCCACCCAGGGCAGCGTTTCGTGGCCCCATAGGGAGCTCCACCGGAGGCCCCAGTGGCTGCTCTCGCATGCGGTTCCCCCACCCAGGGCAGCGCTTCGTGGCCCCATGTGGAGCTCCACCGAAGGCCCCATTGTGGGGTGTCCACATTTCGGTTCCACCACCCAGGGCAGCGCTTCGTAGCCCCATAGGGAGCTCCACCGAAGGCCCCAGTGGGAGTGTTCGCATGCGGTTCCACCACCCAGGGCAGCGTTTCGTGGCCCCATAGGGAGCTCCACCGAAGGCCCCAGTGGGGGTGTTCGCATGCGGTTCCCCCACCCAGGGCAGCGTTTCGTGGCCCCATAGGGAGCTCCACCGAAGGCCCCAGTGGGGGTGTCCACATGCGGTTCCCCCACCCAGGGCAGCGTTTCGTGGCCCCATAGGGAGCTCCACCGAAGGCCCCAGTGGGGGTGTTCGCATGCGGTTCCCCCACCCAGGGCAGCGTTTCGTAGCCCCATAGGGAGCTCCACCGAAGGCCCCAGTGGGGGTGTTCGCATGCGGTTCCCCCACCCAGGGCAGCGTTTCGTGGCCCCATAGGGAGCTCCACCGAAGGCCCCAGTGGGGGTGTTCGCATGCGGTTCCCCCACCCAGGGCAGCGCTTCGTGGCCCCATAGGGAGCTCCACCGAAGGCCCCAGTGGCTGCTCTCGCATGCGGTTCCCCCACCCAGGGCAGCGTTTCGTGGCCCCATAGGGAGCTCCACCGGAGGCCCCAGTGGCTGCTCTCGCATGCGGTTCCCCCACCCAGGGCAGCGCTTCGTGGCCCCATGGGGAGCTCCACCGAAGCCCCCGTGGCGCAGTTCGCATGCGCTTCCCCCACCCAGGGCAGCGTTTCGTGGCACCATAGGGAGCTCCACCGAAGGCCCCAGTGGCGCAGTTCGCATGCGGTTCCCCCCACCCAGGGCAGCGTTTCGTAGCCCCATAGGGAGCTCCACCGAAGGCCCGCCCCGGTGGCGCAGTCCGCATGCGGTTCCCCCATCCAAGGCAGCGCTTCGTGGCCCCATATGGAGCCCCACCGAAAGCGGCACCCACAACGCGTTACCAACAATTGCTTATGGTTGGGTCTTTCGCCAGGATAATTTATGTTTATAGTTTTCGTCGAAAATCCCCCTGTGTGGGGGACAGGCCTTACTTAACCCTAGCAGGGCCCCGGCCCGCCTCCAAGACGGCCTGCGAGGTTTCCGACAGGGTCGCAGGGCGCTCCAGGGCGCCCTCGATGGCTGCGAGGGGCGGGCGAGGAGCCCCCCAGGACGACCCGGGCTCCAAGTGGACCTCCCAAGACTCGGGCCGGTCGAAAGGGGGGGGATTGGGAAAGGGGGGGCTACGAAATTTGCTGCATTCAGCTGGTTTCGGCCCCACCGAGGGGCCCATTCCTCGATGCGTAGTCGCCTCCGGCGCCGGGAGGCGCCGGGAAAAAATCAGCTACGTGAGGCTATTCTCACCCCCCCCCCTTTGCTATCCCCCCCTTTCGCCCGACCCGAAAGACCGCCCCAAGGAGCAAAAAACGGTTCAGTCCCTCCGGAGAGCGTGCATTTTCAGTCTTCCTTCTTCTTCTCTCGTGACCGCGCTCCACGTGGCCCACGGTTGCCCCCAGGCGCGGCCCCAGGGGCGCCCCAAGAGTGGCCCCCAAGAGTGGCCCCAAGACAGCCCGACATGGCCCCCGAACGGCCCCGGAGGGGCCCCAGACGCCCTCCGCGGGCCCCGTGGGCGCCCAACGCATCCCAAGAGAGCCCCAAGAGGCCGAGCCGCGGCCCCAAGAGGGCGTCCGACGGCCCCCAGGCGCCCCGCTCTTCGCGCCTCCCCCGCCCGAGGGCCAAGGGCCGCCCCCATCCGCGCCCAGCCTGGATCCTCGGTCAGCACTGGCCCAAGGCGGCCCGAAGATGGCTCCAAGATTAGGTGAGCAAAAAGTGGCATAAACATAAAATCTCGGAGGTCCGCACGGATTTCTCGGATCGGCGCTGGACCCCCCTCCCTGGGGGCGGCGCTGGAGTCGCCGCCGGGGGGGGCCCCAGCGCCGATCCGAGAAATCCGCGCGGACCTCAGCGTTTTTTTCCCACATGTTTCGTGGGGTTCTGGTTTTCTTCCCTGCCGCGGCGCACCCGCGTCTCCTCACCTCCCCTCCTCCCTCTTCTTCCTCTCCTCACCCGCGCTCAACACATGCACGGCAAGTACATGACACACGCGTCTACATACAGCCGCACGCATGCACACATTCGCGCACAACGCACACACCATACAACGCTAGTGCGCGCCTGGCGTGTTCACTGCATCACACATCCACGACGTGTGCGACACATAGTGGGCACCCACATGAGACACGTCCCGATATGGCCGCTATGCACGACGGTCGTCCAGGCATAGCAGGCGTGGCACTTCCTCGACACCAGAGGGGGTGCGCTGGGGGTGGGAGCCCTATCCGTTTCGGGCTCGCAATGCGTGGCAGGCGTGGCACTTCCTCGACACCAGAGGGGGTGCGCTGGGGGTGGGGGCCCTATGCGTTTCGGGCTCGCAAAGCGTGGCAGGCGTGGCACTTCCTCGACACCAGAGGGGGTGCGCTGGGGGTGGGGGTCCCACCGCGGTCTCTATACGCGCCAATGTCGCAGGGCCTGGCAGGAGTGGCATTTCCTCGACGCCACAGGGGGTGCGCTGGGGGTGGGGGCCCACCGCGGTCTCTATACGCGCCAATGTCGCAGGGCCTAGCAGGCGTGGCATTTCCTCGACGCCACAGGGGGTGCGCTGGGGGTGGGGGCCCACCGCGGTCTCTATACGCGCCAATGTCGCAGGGCCTAGCAGGCGTTGCATTTCCTCGACGCCACAGGGGGTGCGCTGGGTGCGCTGGGGGCCCACCGCGGTCTCTATACGCGCCAATGTCGCAGGGCCTAGCAGGCGTGGCATTTCCTCGACGCCACAGGGGGTGCGCTGGGGGTGGGGGCCCAGTGCGTTGCAGGCTCCCAGGGCGTGGCAGGCGTGGCATTTCCTCGCCGCCACACGGGGTGCGTTGGGGGTGGGGGCCCTATGCGTTGCAGGCTCCCAGGGCGTGGCAGGCGTGGCATTTCCTCGACGCCACAGGGGTTGCGCTGGGGGTGGGAGCTCGTATCTTGTCAAAAACTGTAAACACCTTGGCTCAAGCCGGCTCGGCGCGCCTGCGCTCTTACGCAGGCGCGCCCCTGTAGTCCTACTTCAGAGCACCGCCCGACCTGCGCGGCAGCCATGCCTCCCAAAATCGCCGTGGACGCGCTGCCACCTCCATGTTTGGCGATGAAGACTGCAATGGTTCAGATGGGCGGCGAGGTTTGCGTGGAGACCTCCCGCAGATGCGCCAACGGAGTGGTGCAGTCCGCTTTGCATGCGTACCGCCGCCAGCTTCACAATTGGTGGCCCGATACGCTCTACGCGAGGTACTCGGAGATGAACGACGGTTGGTGGCCTGGCTGGTCTGCTTGATTGGCCTGGCTGGCTGGTCTGATTACTTTGGCTGGTTATGGCTGGAACGAATGATCTGGCTGGTCTGGTCAGTCTGGCTGGTCTGGCTGATCTGGCTGGTCTGGTCAGTCTCTCGTCAGGGTGGCGAAGCGAAGTGTGACACGGTTTGTGAACATACGTGACATAAAATAAGTATGCAGGGTTCCTCGGTAGTGTAATTATGTTTATGCCAATTCTTGTTCACCTAAAGATTGGCCCAATGGGGCCCCAAGACGGCCGAAGACAGCTTCGAGGCGGGCGCGACCTGTCCGAACGAGCCCGAGGCAGGCCCTCCGCCCTGGGGAAGTGTCATCACCGCAGCCTTTCGGCGAGATCTCCGCCCCGACCCCGCGAGCCTTTTCGGGTAGATCGTATGGCCGGTAGGCCACGGGTTGGCCCCAGTGTATCCTGCAGTACTGGGAGCAGAGCGTGGTGCGTTGCTCTGTTGCCAGTGCCCGGGTGGGCCTGCCTGGAGGGCCCGCCGGAGGGGGCCTGGAGGGCCCACCAGACGGCCCAGGCGAGTCCAAGAGTCTTCCAAGTTTGCCGAAGATGCCTCCGATACGGCCGAGGGTGGCCTCAAAATGGCCGAGGATGGCGACTAGACGGCCTCAGAGGGTCCCACGATGGCCCAAGACGGCCTCCAGACGGCCGAACAGCTTGCCAGAGCGTCCCCAGAGCGCTGCAAGAGCACTCCCAGCAGGGCCTCCCGATGCAAACATCTAAGGATTTTTGGGCCCTTGTAGCGTCCACGACGGTCGAACAGCCCCCAAGATCGCCCCAACCCGGCCCAAGAGGCCTGTTAAGAGGATCCCAGGGCGGCTCGAGAGAGCAGCAAGACGGCCCATGACGGCCCAAGACGGCCCAAGAGAGCCCCAAGACGACCCAAGAGGCGCCCAAGAGGACCCAAGATGGCCCAACGATGATCCACTAGAGCCCCAGGTGCATCCCAAGACGGTCCCAAGAACGCTCCCAGAGAGCCCGAAAGGGCCTTTCAATGGATGCTACAACGCACGCGCCCCCTGTTGTAGCATCTGTCGGGTGCCTTTCGGGGGCCCTCTTGGTGCCGTCTTCGGGCCCTTCGGAGCCTCCTGCAAGGCTGCAAGACGGTCCAAGAGAGCTGCAAGACAGCTCCGGTACAGCCCCAAGACGGCCCAAGTAACGTCCCAAAACAGCCCAAGACGGCCTCCAGACGGCTGCAGTACCTTCCAAAGGGCTTTCAGGGCGCTCCAAGAGCACTACCAGAAAGGGCTCCCAGTGCAAACATTTTTTTTTTGTTTTTTGGTTTTAAGGTTTTTTTTAACAGTTTTTTTTGAGCATGCGCGACCTTTGGGCCCTTGCAGCGTCCACGACGGCCCAACAGCCCTCTAAATCGACCCAAGCCGTCCGGCCCAAGAGGCTTCCCATGATGATCCCATGGCGGCTCGAGAGAGCCAGAGGCGCGCAAGACGGCCCCAAGATGGTCCAGCGATGGTCCGCCAGAACCCCAGGTGCACCCCAAGGCGGCCCCACGAGCGCTCCCAGAGAGCCCGAAGAGGCCCCCAACGGATGCTACAACGCGCCCCCCCCCTGTTGTAGCATCCGTCGGGTGCTTTCTGAGGGCCCTCTTGGGGCCGTCTTCAGGCCCTCTGGAGCTCCTATTGGGCCTTTTTGCAAGGTCCTCCGGGTGCTGTTAGAACCTCTTGCAAGGCTGCAAGACGGCCCAAGAGAGCTGCAATACAGCTCAGGGACAGCCCCAAGACGGCCCAAGAGGCGCCCAAGACGACCCAAGATGGCCCAGAGATGGCCCCGCCGCGTTCCCCTGCCAGGGCACCTGCGGAGTTGCTCCACTGGTACACACCAGTCAGCTACAGCGCTGGGATCAGCGCGTGCGAGAAGGTCAAGCAGTGGCAGCGGGCTCTGGCGCTGCTGAGCGAGATGTGGGAGGCGAAGCTGGAGCCAGACGCCTAGGCCCCGAGAGGCCCCAAGAGGCGCTGGCCAAGACGACTCTCAGATAGTCCGCGAGAGCTTCATCCAGGTCGGTAGGCCCTAAGCTGCACGACGACCCGAGACGACCAGGACGCTCAAAGAGGTCCCAGACATGTGGCATGTTTGGGCCCCAAGATGTGCAACTCTAGATATGACCAGTATTGCGGGCGAGCCGCAACAGCCATCAAACATGCTCTGAAATGCTCGTCCACCTACTTTCCCTGCGTGTCTCGAGGCCACTGCCGGGCATGCTTTGCAACGGCCGACGGAGGGGCGCCGGGGCGACTGCCCATTCTTGTCAGACAGCTTCGTGCCAGCTGAATTTTGGCCACAGCCTCGTATTCGCTGGAATCTCCTTTGCGCTATCCCGAGTTTCCCCATACACTCTTCAGCAGCAGCAGCAGCAGCAGCAGCAGCAGCAGCAGAGCCAGTTGCAGAGCCAGCAGGCAAAAACCAGCGAGCAGCAAGCAATGGCATAACTAGCCAGCACGCTGCAGTACCATACCTCATCACCAGCAATCAGAAGCATTGACGTCAATCAGAAGCAGCAAACTGCAGCGCATGCTCGACGGCAACCACCAGTTTCTTCTGGCAGTCCAAAAAGCCCTGTAGCAACGCGCAGACCTGAGGTAGACCTCGCCGTCCCTGGGGGGGGGGCTGCGATCTGCGAAACTGTCGCCACTTTCGAGGGCTGCTGGTGGGTCCAGCGGAGTGAGGCACCGCGCAGACCTGAGGTAGACCTCGCCGTCGCTGGGGGGCTGCGATCTGCGAACTTGTCGCCACTTTCGAGGGCTGCTGGTGGGTCCAGCGGAGTGAGGCACCGCGCAGACCTTAGGTAGACCTCACCGTCCCTGGGGGGCTGCCATCTGCGAAGCTGTCGCCACTTTCGAGGTCTGCTGGTGGGTCCAGCAGAGTGAGGCACCGCGCAGACCTGAGGTAGACCTCACCGTCCATGGGGGGCTGCGATCTGCGAAACTGTCGCCACTTTCGAGGGCTGCTGGTGGGTCCAGCGGAGTGAGGCACCGCGCGGACCTCAGCGGGACCTCGCCGTCCCTGGGCGGCCATGCCATGTTGTTGCTGCCCCGCCGACGTTTCAAGTCCCTTGCTTACAGTCTCCTTTTGGACCTTGCGTCTTCCTTAGTAACTCAGGGGTTCAATTAGTTACTCATATTTTTTTCCTTGATTGGGGACCTGTGTACCTTCCGGATGCTGCTCGCAGAAGTATTTGCGTCCATGTCACGTCGCCGCCTTCTCGTCGAATCTCCCAAGCTACTCCTGCCCCCCATTTCGCAGGGGTTCGGTACGTCGCCAGGGTAATAAGAATACGCATTTTACATTGTAATGTGAGTAATGCTACACTTATTAATCATAAACATGCTCATGTTAAGACAGATCAAGCTAATAATGACACTAGTAGTAGTAGTAGTAGTAGTAGTAGTAGTAGTAGTAGTAGTCGTAGTCGTAGCCGTAGTCGTAGTCGTAGTCGTAGTCGTAGTAGTAGTAGTAGTAGTAGTAGTAGTAGTAGTAGTAGTAGTAGTAGTAGTAGTAGTAGTAGTAGTCGTAGTAGTACTAGTAGTAGTAGTCGTAGTCGTAGTCGTAGTCGTAGTCGTAGTACGTAAGTCGTAGTCGTAGTCGTAGTAGTAGATAGTAGTAGTAGTATAGTAGTAGTAAGTAGTTAGTATAAGAAGTATTAGAAGTAGTAGTAGTAGTAGTAGTGGTGGTGGTGTGGTGTTGTGGTGTGTGGTGGTGAGGGGTGGTGGTGGTTGGTGGTGGTGTGGAGGTGGTGGTGGTTGGTGGTGATAGAATAAGTATAATAGTAGTAGTGGTAGTATCAGATCGTAAGTCTAAGTCGTCCGTCGACGGCGCCGTCGTCGGTCGCGAATAGATAGCAACAGTAGCACAAAAAGCAGCAGCAGCAGCAGTCGTAGAAGTAGTAAGTAGTAAAGAATGTAATTATTATTATTAGTAATAGTAGTATTGAGTAGTAGTCCGAGTAGTAGTCTTAAGTCGTAGTCTAGTCGTAGTAGTGGTAGTAGTAGTAGTAGTAGTAGTAGTAGTAGTAGTAGTAGTAGTAGTAGTAGTAGTAGTAGTAGTAGTAGTAGTAGTAGTAGTAGTAGTAGTAGTAGTAGGTAGGTAGTAGGTAGTAGGTAGTAGGTAGTAGGTAGTAGGTAGTAGGTAGTAGGTAGTAGTAGTAGTAGTAGTAGTAGTAGTAGTAGTAGTAGTAGTAGTCGTAGTAGTAGTAGTAGTAGTAGTAGTAGTAGTAGTAGTAGTAGTAGTTAGTAGTAGTAGTAGTAGTAGTAGTAGTAGTAGTAGTAGTAGTAGTAGTAGTAGTAGTAGTAGTAGTAGTAGTAGTAGTAGTAGTAGTAGTAGTAGTAGTAGTAGTAGTAGTAGTAGTAGTCGAAACCAATTGCCCTAGCCAGCCCAACCAGCCAGCCCAACCAACCAGCCACCCAAACAACTCTACCGGCTTAACCAGCCCAACCAGCCACCCCGCAACCCCAGCCAACCCGCCACCCCGCCAACCCGCCTCCCCCCGCCGCCTGCCCTCCGTCACCGTCGAGAGGTGGGGGGAAGTGTTTCTTACAAGCGAAAACCACAAAGATCACCCTCCCGGGGTCCGGCGGGTCAGCGGGGGGAGGGGAAATCGCACCGTACTATGCGGGAGGGGGATTCGCGCCCGAGGTGCCCGGGGACGATTTGGGGCCTCAAGTGCGACACTGTCGTCATTTTATTACCTTCACCGCGCTCCCCTTCTCAACGGAAAGGCTCACATCCGTGAAACTGTCGTCATTTTTCAGCTCCCGCGAGAGGCTTCTTGGAGGCCCCCAAAGGCTCCAGGAGGGCCCATGGCGGCCTCGGGAGTGCCTAGGAGATCTCTGGAGGGCCCCAGGAGGACCCACTCTGCACCGCGCCCCCCTTCTCAACGGAAAGGCCCCCATGCGTGAAATTGTTTTCATCATTCCGCCCCCACGAGAGGGTTCTGAGAGGGCCCACGGAGGCTCCAGGAGACCCCATGGCGGCCCCGGGAGGGCCCACGAAATCTCAAGAGCCACCCGGAGGACCCATTTTGAATTACACTCAGGGGGCTCCAGAAGGCCCAGGAGGCTCCAAGAGGCCCCGAGAGGCCCCGAAGAGCCCAAACAGGCCACAGGACCCCCAGCACGCTGTAGGAGAGCCAAGGCGACACCAAGAGGCTCCAGGACGGGCGTCATTCCCTCTCCTCCTCCTGCTCGCGTCGTCATCCTTCTCCTCATCCGTCCTGCTTTTAATCCTTCCTCCCCCTCTTCCTCCTCCTTCTCCTCCTCTTTCTCCTCCTCCTCCGCCTCCTCCTCTTCCTCCTCCTCCGCCTCTTCCTCCTCCTCCTCCTCCTCCTACCTCATCCGTAGCCTCGATGGCTCCGATAGCGCCGTGCGCGAGATCCGCCTCCTCTCCATCCGTCCTCCTCCCTCCTCCCTCCTCCTTCCCTCCTCCCTCCTCCCTCCTCCTCTCTCTCGGGAGCGTCGCAAAGAGGCCCTCCGAGGATAATTTCACGACAGCAAGGGCGCCGACACGATGAACAGACACCACGTTGGGGCTCTGGGAAAGGAGTCGAAGGCGAAACCTCTAATAACGTAATCTTTGATGTTCGGGGCATTTTTCTGACCACCTGCGAGCCTGGCGCAAGCACACGAGTGGAGGAGGAGACACCACGACGCTCCACGGAGTAAACTGCACCCAGTTGGTTTCTACCCCCGTGAGGGGCGTTACAGGTAGTAGTAGTAGTAGTAGTAGTAGTAGTAGTAGTAGTAGTAGTAGTAGTAGTAGTAGTAGTAGTAGTAGTAGTAGTAGTAGTAGTAGTAGTAGTAGTAGTAGTAGTAGTAGTAGTAGTAGTAGTAGTAGTAGTAGTAGTAGTAGTAGTAGTAGTAGTAGTAGTAGTAGTAGTAGTAGTAGTAGTAGTAGTAGTAGTCGTAGTAGTAGTAGTAGTAGTAGTAGTAGTAGTAGTAGTAGTAGTAGTAGTAGTAGTAGTAGTAGTAGTAGTAGTAGTAGTAGTAGTAGTAGTAGTAGTAGTGGTAGTAGTAAGTAGTAGTAGTAGTAGTAGTAGTAGTAGTAGTAGTAGTAGGTAGTAGTAGTAGTAGTAGTAGTAGTAGTAGTAGTAGTAGTAGTAGAAGAAGAAGAAGTCGTAATCGTAGTCGTAGCCGTAGTCGTAGTCGTAGTCGTGGTCGTAGTAGTAGCAGGAGTAGAAGTAGTAGTAGTAGCAGTCGTTGTAATCCTAGTCGTAGTAGTAGTGGTAGTAGTAGTAGTCGTAGTAGTAGTTGGAATAGTCGTAGTCGTAGTCGTAGTCGTAGTCGTAGTCGTAGTCGTAGTATTATCATTAGTAGTAGTAGTAGTAGTAGTAGTAGTAGTAGTGGTGGTAGTAGTAGTAGTAGTAGTTGTTGTAGTGGTGGTGGTAGTAGTAGTAGTAGTAATCGTAGTTGTAGTAGTCGTAGTCGTAGTCGTAGTAAGGATAGTAGTTGTAGAAGTAATAGCAATAGTAGTAGTATTAGTAGCAGCAGCAGCAGTAGTAGAAATAGTAGTAGTAGTAGTAGTCGTAGTAGTAGTAGTAGTAGTAGTAGTAGTAGTAGTAGTAGTAGTAGTAGTAGTAGTAGCAGTAGTAGTAGTAGTAGTAGTAGTAGTAGTAGTAGTAGTAGTAGTAGTAGTAGTAGTAGTAGTAGTAGTAGTAGTGGTAGTCGTCGTAGGTAGTAGTAGTCGTAGTAGAGTAGTAGTAGTAGTAGTCGTCGTAGTAGTAGTAGTATATTAGTCAGTATAGTAGTGTAGTAGTAGTGTAGTAGTCGTAGTATTTTTCTGTAGTAGTAGTCGTAGTAGTAGTCATGGTCGTAGTATAGTAGTAGAAGTAGTAGTAGTTAGTATATTAGTAGTAGTAGTCGTAGTATAGTAGTAGTAGTAGTAGTGTAGTAGTAGTAGTAG